GCTTCTCAGCCGCCACATGTTTCCTGGCAGAACCAGGAGAGCTCGCAACAGTCGTCCTCCGGGCCTTGGGGTCCGGCTGTTGGGAAGAAGAAGCTCTTGGAGCGCCCGTCTAAAAAAGAAGAAAAGAGTCTTATATGCATAAACACAACTCCAAAGAGAGGGTGAAAGGTTCGAAGCCCACCAAGGGTGCCCCCTTGTTGGGGGAGTCGGTTGAAGACTGTTGCATGATGGAGGCCCGCAACATGGCCGCCGCAGTCTTGGAGGCGGTAATTTTGCTCATGGCGTCCGCTGCAAAAATAAATAGCAAATTTAATAAAAGTCATAACACGAAATGCATGGAACAACAGAGTATTCGACAGGCCGGCTACCTCTTGAGCACCGACTGCTGAGGCCACATGCGGCCAAAAAGTACTCGTCGTAGAGCCATTTGAAGCTCGGGACGCAGTGCAGGGGTACTTGCTCTCGTACCCCTGAAGTAGAGTTCACCTTCGACTCTACTTTGAAGAGTCCTTTATCTAGGATCTCTTTTTTAGCCTTGGGGGGAACAGGCGACATGCTGCGGCCGCCTGCAAGAAGGGGCGGATTCCTGTTCCACCTGTTGAAGCGCTTGTTCAGCTCTGTGTCTGAACTCTCAATAATAAGGAAGGTGCTCCGCCAGTCCTTCCATTTGTTTGCTTTACCTCTCGTCATGAGGTAGCCCCTGTGGCTCGTCAATTGATACCAGCCGGTACCGCCTGCCTTAGGGGTCCGGCTGAGGTAGTTCATGTGGGCGAAAGCCTCGAAGTTCGGCTCCACCCCGTGCAGTTCGCACCCGGTCACATAGCCGAGTACGTTGACCCAGGAGTTCGGGGCTAACTGCCATAACCCCAACTCATACCCATCCAAGATCCGCTGAACAGCCGGATGTAGTGGGAAGCGCAGCCCAGCCTTGATGGCCGCCTCGTAGCAGCCAAAGCAGGCGCCATCATAACTGGTACCAGCCGGCCAGACGACTGTGTCTTCTGGATCCGGCACGAACACTAAAAAGCCGGGGCCCATTGTGTGGTTTGCGATAAAGCTCTCCACTTTCTCTTGCATGGCTGTGATCCGGCCCCGAGGTACCGTGCAGTAGTAGGGGGTATTTTGCTCTCGGTGAGAGGCGGATGGCTCCGCCCAATCGTCCCCCTTCTCAACTGCGTGAGAAAGCCTCGCCTCTTGTAGGCGACTGTTTTTCTCTTCTGTGTCCAGAGAAGCATGGCCAGAAGAGCTAGACTCGGAATCGTCCTCTGACGAGTCCGAAGAGGACGACTCCTCCCCTCTCCCGGAGGGGCCCGCCTCCTCTCCTTTAAAAGGAGCAGGAGAGAATGTAGAATTGTCAACTGTAAAATAGGAAGGGGTCACTTTGACTCCTCCCTCAGAACTGCCGGCTTTCAAGCCGCTTTGTTTCACTTCCACATCTGGCGCCTGGTCAGATGTTTCACTAATCGGCACCCTGTGGGAGGAGCCGTCTGAGTTTGAGATCCTGGCAGTCTTTTTTGTTCTGGCCATCATGCTCTGCATAGACACAGATATAGTCGGACTTTGTATAAAGGGCAAAGATGGGTCCAGAAAAGGGCAGGCGGCACTCCTAGTCCTAGATTCAGCCGTCCCCGGTGACCGGCTGATCACTAACCTAGGTCGTGTCGTGTGCTTCCGTGGTGCCATTTCAAAAAAAGAATAAAGTAAAGAGAAAATTAAGAGTAAGAGAACCGACGGTTACCTGAACGAGTGACGATTGATGAAGTTCTGAAAATCCTTTGCAGTCGGCTTGTCAGAGCAGGCGGTAGGCAGAAAGGGTCCAAAATGTCAGAGCAAGTTCAGGGGTCCGAATGTTCTCTCACAAAGTTTTCAAGTGTGAAAATGACCGAAGTCAACACTCCTTTATATAGGCGAAGTGAGAAGGCGAAGGGTCACTTCCAGAATTCAAAATTTTGGCGGGAGAATCTCTCGGCCTCTCGCCGAGTGACACCTGTAGCAGGCCGTCGCCTGTTACAGGGTGATACCTGTCACAGGTAACACGCGACCAGTCACGTGCCACCTGTGAGGGGCAAATGATTAGGGGATTTTTCCCCACCAATCACCATCTAACAAGTGGACCAATCAGGTTCCGCCATGTGTCCGTCACATGGGCCAATAGGAGCCTGCCACGTGTCAAGCAATGATTCGTCCACTATGGACCAATTACGACACGACACGTGTCCTTCCCATGACACCTGGGATAACCGGTCACCAAGGCCCAACTTCCGAGGGAAGCCCAATCAGCCCAAGGTTAACCTAAACCTAGATTGGCACGTTTCCCGAGGTTATAAATACCTCCCTTAATCCTCATTAAGGGGGACAACGCAGATTACACACACTAAACTCTCTCACCTAGAGAGATCCAATCACTTTAATTTCCGCATTAATTACTCCTTAATCAAGTACTAACTTGACCGTCGGAGGCGGATCTCCAATCATCCGGAGCATCCGTTTGTTTTGCAGGTACAGGCGTCCGGTTCCAGTCTCGGAATTGTAACTCTCCCGCAGGACATCAGAAAACCCCGAAACAAGCTACATTTTTTTATTGCTCAATACATATCACAGATTATTCACTTTAAAGTTGTAATTGTGAACGCGGAGGTGCTTACATGTTCCTTTTTGTTGCAACCATACTTGTTTTGCGTTTGCAAGTACCAAAAACCATATATAAACATTAGTACAAATTCAACAAATTATTAACATGTCTATTCAATCTAACGGTGAAATAATCACCTTCATGGAGAAGTCAGCAACATCCAATAGCAGCAACCTAGCATCATAGTAGCGTGCCAATGCTTTAGCAAGCAATTGTTGGTAAAGTTCTGCAAGAGAAGAAGATAAAAAACCTAACATTTATCAGAAGATAACATAGCAAAATATAAAATTACTGTAAGAAACCAGATGGATCATATACCAACCAGCCATTGATTCATGTTTCTTACGCTCAACCTTAGCGTGTTCAGCCACAACTTTAGCTAGGGGGTGCTCGCTGTTTTCCTGCAAATATGTTGGAGGAAAGAGCAGTAGAGTGATTTAAGTTCCATCATAAAGATGACCAATTCTCAAATCCAAAAGGTACTAAATCACTGACAACTAAAACATTACACTAAATATATAAACATTATACTAAACTGGAACCAAAGTTTAGTATCACTTTTCTTTTCTGATAAGAGCAAACACATTCTTGAAATATCAACAAATTTGACAAAGCTGAAAACATCCTAACACAGTCTCTCTAGTAAATCTATCAGAACTCTCAAGTTTCAACTAATAAAACTTGAGACTTACAGAGCTATGTATTACATAGAGCTACATCAAAGTTTCAAGTTTCAACTAATAAAACTTTCAAATAGACCAAAGAAGAGGTCAACTTTTAACATAAAATAATAACTTTAAAATGTAATTGGTTTACTTTTACTTGATTTATATCTACATTTGACAACCATCAACAGACAACATATATATATGGATTTCTCATAGGAATTTCATCGAACAGTTGATATGCAAAGTAACAAAATAAGAACCTTCTTTTGTACTAAACTTAATATACTTCCTCCGGTTTCGATTATTTGCAACACTGGTACCGTTTACGGATACCAATGCAAAACTTATAGGAGGTGTTTAGTAGTGGAAAATTGGGTAGTGGGGTAGGTGATTAATAAATTAAAAAGGGAGGGAAAGAAATTCTAATTTAATGAGGAGAGAGAAAAAGAGAAACATATGGTCCCAAAATTTCAAATAATTGGGGGTATTGTGGCCCCAATTATTTTGGCACCATTTTTTCCCCTTCAAAATTTTTTCCCTTCAAAATTTTTTCCCTCCTGTTTTTTCAAGTCAGTTACCAAATGATAAGAGGGCAGCACCGAATTTTTTTTTTCCCACCCAATCCAAATTTACAAAACCCATTCAAATTTCCCTCCCCCCTCTAAATTTTTCATTCAAAGAGGGGGTATTTAAAGCTACCAGGATAACAGTTGATAAATATTCTTTACAAAATTTGTGTCCTACATTCCAGACACAAAAATCAGTCCCAAAATGAATGTTCTGCCTAAATTCCAGACATAAAAATCTACTAAGTTAGTTGCAGCTTCATCTTCTTCTTCCCTGGTTCAGTAACAGCAACTCAGTCAAAAAACAGCTCCCACACCTCATCACCAGTACCTGACAACTGGAACTCAGTAAAATTAGTAATCTGAACATGTCAGATTATGCAAATGATCCATATTTTGGCATTGATCAGATGCTGAACGATGAAAACAGTATGGGACAAAGTCAAGCAAATCACCAAGAAGGGACTGAACTGAATGACAGCAACAGCAATCAGCATGAGGGTTCATTTCAGGGACCAACAACAAGAAAACAACTGACTACTCAGCAAAAAAGGGAGCTGGTAGATGGTTTTCTACTTAAGTTAGAGGGGGGGGGGGGAGTTGCCCAGAGGGTACTTATCAGAACAAGCAAGAAAATTCAATGTACACAGGTCAACCATCCTGAGATTATTTACAGACATCAAAACACAAATGGCACAGGGAAATGTCGTAGATGTGAGAAGCAAGAAACTGGGCAAAACAGGACCCAAACCCAGAGAGTACACTGATGAGTTCCTACAGTCAGCACCATTGAATAAGAGGACAACATAGAGAAGTTATGCATGTGCTCTCAAGATCTCACATTCAGCCATCCATAAGGTAAAGAAACAAGGCAGATTGAGAACACATACAACAACAAATCACCCAGCATTGACATCCAATCACAAAATAGCAAGAATGAAATGGGTGTTAACTCATTTACTGCCAGCCACTCAGAATGGGGATTGCAAATTTGTGGACATGCAACAAGTTATTCATGTAGATGAAAAATGGTTCTACTTGAACCTAGAAACAAGGAGGTTCTACCTTCTACCAAATGAGGCAAACCCATACATGTGCCAATAGTCCAAGAGGTTCAAAGTTAAAGGTATGTTCATGGCAACAATTGGCAAACCCATATTTGGTCCTAATGGAGCATTAGTACATGATGGAAAGTATGGAATTTTTCCATTTGTCTATGAAAGCATAGCAAAGAAAAAAAGCAAAAACAGGGATGTTGGTGCTGTGGAAATCAAGGCAACACAGAATGTCAACAAAGAAGCCATAAGAGCAATGCTAATTAACAATGTCATTCCATCAATCAAAGCTAACTGGCCTGCCTATCTACCCAAGGACATATTTATTCAGTGGGATAATGCCAGATCTCATCAAATTCCTAGGGATGAGGAATTTGAAACAACTTGTCACTCTGAGGGATTCAACATTCAATTCATTTACCAACCAGCTCAGTCCCCAGATTTAAATGTGTTGGATCTAGGGCTATTCAATGTAATCCAATCAATACAATACCAATCCTTCCCAAAAAACCTAAAGGAACTCATTGAAAGAGTGACAGAGGCTTATCAGATGTTCAACCCAGAGTTGAACAAGCAAATTTGGATAAGTCTACAATGTTTTATGGAAGAAATTCTGATAAACCAAGGAGGGAATAACTTTATCCCTCCCCACAAAGGCAAAAAAAGGCTTGAGAGGATGGGGATGCTGCCAGAGCAACTGGAGGTGGACAAGAATGTGGTGCAAGAGGCTGTTAATTACCTCAACAACATTTTCATACCAGTTCACCAAGGCCAAGGTATTGAAGAAGATGAAGCTATGCAAGTAGATGCTGATTGAACTCAACTCAAACAAATGAAGAAGATCAACAGACTGAAACTGCCACACATAACCATTGAAAATCAAACAACAAGCATGCAACACAGTATGTGCTGTTTTTTTTTATTTTGATTAAGTACACTGTGTCAATCATTGGTTAGGTGTCTTTTGTTTAAATTTTTGCAAACTATTATTGTAAGGCAGTCTTAAGAACCTATTGTTGGGAAATGTACTAGTTTTTGGTAAGTGTTACCACTTCATTGATGGTTCAATTATTTACAAGTGTTTACAAACAAGATGAGTTATATGTCAAATCAGGCTGAAAGCATCATTCCATCAGATGGTTTTTTTTTTCCACATATATTACATAACTGGTTCCCTCAACAACAACTCTTATATGGAGTTGTTGGAGAAATTCCTAGTTATGAATGTTAAGGGTCAAATGAGTCTCTTCATCACTTGGATTTTGCAGGCACACACAACACAACACACTGAGGGACTCTATTCACCTAGGGACATGTATCACATGGGGGGACTCATACAGGGACACTCATGCAGGCAACCAATTGGTCATCATTCTGTGCACCAGCCTTAGGACAACAAACACAGCATAAACAGGCCAACCACCTTCCCACTATTTTTTAATTTTTGTTAACCATCCCAACCACCAAGCAAACCACAAACAAGAATCAATATCATGTAGAGCATGTCAACCAGCAACCAACAGAATTCCTCACAGGTGAGGATGCACAACAAGCCACCAATACATCCAACAACTACATACAAATTATCTGCACCAGCCTCAGGACAACAAGCACAACCTACACAGCCCAACCAGTTTTCTACAATTTTTAATTTTTTTTTAAACATCCCAACCACCAAGCAAACAACTAACCACAATGAATAGCAGACAGAGCATGAATAGGTCAACCACCAGCCTACAGAATTCCAAACAGGTGAAGATGCACAACAAGCAAGCAATACAGCCAACAACATACAAATTATGTGCATCAGCCTCAGGACAACAAGCCCAAGACAACAAGCCCAACAACCATCCCACTCAATAATCCCACAGTTACTAGCAATCAATCTCAATTTGGATATAGAGCAACCAGCATGAAATACCAACAACACAGTTACTAGCAATCAATCTCAATTAGGGCAACCAGCATGAAATACCAACAACACAGTTACTAGCAATCAATCTCAATTAGGGCAACCAGCATGAAATACCAACAACCCAGTTACTAGCAATCAATCTCAATTAGGGCAACCGGCATGAAATACCAACAACACAGTTACTAGCAATCAATCTCAATTAGGGTAACCAGCATGAAATACCAACAACACATATACCACATACTTAATACGGAAATAAGCATGAAAATCAGGCTACTCAACGCAAATTTTTCAAAGAACGCCACATCAAATCAAGAGAAAAATCAAAAACCATGAGATAAAGGACTGAATAAGAAGTAGGTTAAGAAATGCGTTACGCTGCTAGATTAGTTGGTGGTAGTGGTGAAAGGGTTGCAAGACCCTGCACCTTTCAACACTGTAAGCCTTAGGGGACTCAGATCTGACGCGCTTTTTTCCAGAGAACTCATGGGTAGTCTTAGATCTGACCACTCCCACCTCCTCCGCAACGCATCTGGCTTGGACAGGGGTTGCAACTGGCGTTTCATCATCATCGCTGTCAAGAACAACAATTTCAGGAGGTTTATTAACAGAAACCTCAACGTCTTTGCCCAGATCTGGCTTCGTAGCCTGACCACGCTCCTCATCGGAGACGTAAGGAGTCAGCTTTGCACCCCCTCCAGTTCGACGTTTCATATCAACGTACATTGCAGTGCGCGTACCTATCAAACGCATCCTCCCCGTGCGTGGGTGGCACTTGTAGGTGGCAATAACGTCAGGATCTTCCTTTTTTTGGTTAGGGGAACTCATTTTTCAGAAATTTTGGAAGAAATAGGTAGTGGAAAACCCAGATCTGCCAATTTTAGGGTTTCGAAATGGAGAGAGAGTGAGTTAAAGAAGGAAGTTTATGTGAGAACAGTGAGAGTGAAACAGCAAAAGACGAAAACAAGGAATAAGTGGTGTAGAAAGGGGGAAGAACGAGGATTTTGAACAGTCGCCATTAATGGTGGTGGGTAGAACTTGCATTCAATATGGTGGTTGGGAAGATGAACACTGAGAGGGTAAATGGAATGGGATGGAACCCTAAATTTTTGGTGGGAATGGTTATATTAATTGGGTGGTATTAAATTTAAGTAAGTAGAGTTAATCTTGTGATTATATTGTAATCAGTTTTTTTTAAGGGCATTACCTTAATTTGACAATTAAAAAATGTACCAAATATGGAAAAAAATCTATTTGTTGCAAATAATAGCAAACACCCCAATAAGGTAAATGTTGCAAATAACCAAAACCGGAGGAAGTATAACAAAAACATCACAGAAAAACAAAATACAACAAAACTATATATAGAAAAATTCAGTTCGTGTAAAATTTCAAACTTAGGTCTAAATTTCACTCATATTGTACACAAGATTAATCAACTTTGTTGAAAGTATAACAAAAAGAATTTCACCTAAAATCATTCCAAAAAATTGATTTCGTGTAAAATTCAGAAACATTACTTGATTTCGTGTAAAATTTCAAACTTAGGTCTAAATTTCACTCAAATTGTACACACTCAATCATAAGCAATTCTCGCAAGAATTAACTCAAACATATGAGCGATTAAAAACCTCGACAATTGAAATTTGATTACAATACACAACATTCATGATCATATATCGCAATAATTTGCAACAAGTGTTGAACAGAGCAAAATTTTAACTAATTATTAATTTAAAAATTGATAATTCTAGTTTAAGAATTTCTAATTATACCTTCTTGAACTCCATCTACATCTCGGTGAAGAACTGAGAATCGTAAAAAAAATTGAACAAAATTCACAAAATTAGACAAGCAAATCTCCATTTCCAGCAAGATCTCGATGAATTTGCAGCAAATTAAACCTAATTTTGATACAAAATTTCCAGAATGCAAAGAAAATTGAAGAGAGAGAAAGTAACGAAGAAAGAGAAATACAAATTTTGGAATTGCAAGTACTTTGTCTGATTTAATCACAACCGCTCATTTTGTTTCGATCTGACGGTTAAATCAGTTCCTAGTTCCTATTATTCCTCGTTATAACTCGGTCTTTTATATATATATATATATATATATATATATACATATATATATACATATACATACATATGTACATATATACATATATTTACATATATAGATATATATAGATATATATACATAATTTGATAGTTTGTGTCTCGTAAATATTATGTTATACCCTTAATAACTGCGAATCCTTCTGTACACAGATCTTTGATTTGTTCGATGTTAAAAGGAAAGGAGTAGTTGACTTCGGTGACTTCGTCAGAGTGTTGAACGTCTTCCATCCTAATGCCTCCCAAGAGGATAAGATAGACTGTATGTAACCTTGTTTTATACAAAGTCTCTCTAACATCGTCCTACATATTGTATATCTGTAACATGGGTCATGTATATCTAGTCACACTCATCCTTTTTCTATTGCAATCACATTTAAGCTTTATGACCTAGATGGCACAGGATATATTGAGCGCGATGAGGTATATTGGGTTTGCTATCCCCTAATTCTCAATCCTCAGCTTTCATTTTACAATGTCTAAACAATGACCTGGATGAGGTATATTGATGTCTAAACAATGTCTTGTTTTACTTAGCAATACTGTGGACCCTGCTTTAAGGGATCATAAATTTGTGCAATATGGTTCTCAGCTTGTTTGTTGGTGTTGTTTGGCTGTAGGCAGACAGATCTTCATTCAATGCTTATTGTCTTGTTCCTGTGTGGTGATTTTTGCCTCAAAGTTCGCAGTTGAGGTGGGGAGAGTTATGTTGGCATGTTTGTTTGATTTGCTCTTTTAATCTTATAACATTACTCAATGTGATTTTCCTTCTCTTGGCTGGTCATATAACCTTGCATGATCATTGTGCTCTAAACTATAGTGATTGTGTAAATTAAATTAAACTAGTGATAAAACAGGTGCTTCAATACCAACATTTTTTCAATTCGCAAGTGCTATTTGGTGTGATGCTTCGCTGGATGATCCTTTAGGTTGCATAGTAGTGCCTTTATTGTCTTAGATGTTCTAGTATGCACTTGATCATAATTCTACATGCTTTGTAATAGTACACTTGTATACCTTGCATGTTAACAAGTTTGTTATAATGTTCATATGAGCTGATATTTATATTTTTGCAAGTGAGGCAAATGTTGATCGCAATTCTTTGTGAATCTGAACTGAAGTTGGCAGATGATATAATCGAACAAATACTTTATAAGGTAAGGTTAACACATTTTCACGTGTGCTGTATTCTTTGAACTTATTGCTGGTTTGGAGGTCTATATTAAAGAGTTTGCAAATCCATAAATAAAATGCTGATGTGCAGTTGTTACTAAAAATTCTGTATTAAGACTGAAAATACTCAAAACTATACCAGTACTGACATAACATGATCTAAGACCAGTACCAGTAATTGCATCTGTGGGCAAGAGATTTTGAGGGATCTCTGGATTCTGTAGTTCACTTAAGTGATCATTGAGATTAATTTTCACTAATATGTAAAGATCTGGTTAAATTAATTATGTATAATGATAATGCTAGTGATTTACTTAGTACAATATATTGAAGATGAGAATTATATACTTTAATTTGTGGCTTTAAACAGAATTGGATTTTGTCAAAGTGCATTAGCAAAGCCCGACTTTTTTTTCCCATAAGTGATATCTAGAAATAGAATATTTGACCTATTGACCTGTTTAGTGGAATGCTTGTCTAGTAGTGTGTTATTGCTTCCCGTCATCACTCTGTCATTGTTTTTACATCTGCAAAGGATGACCTAAAAAAGAACTTTGAATCAGTAACTAAATTCGATTATTGTCTGCTTAAGTTTTGCTAGTTGACTATCGACAGTTGGTTAAGGAGTAATTAGTTTTGGCTGCTTTGTCTTAGATCAAGCTGGAATCTGCAAAGTCTAAATTTCAGAAATGGCATTCTTCATTTCAGGATGAGTCTTTTATATCCCCAGCTACTACTCCAGGTTAGTCTTATAATTTTTAGCTTATATTTTGTATTTCTAATGGCTTATCAGCTCTCTCTCTCTCTCTCTCTCTCTCTCTCTCTCTCTCTCTCTCTCTCTCTCTCTCTCTCTCTCTCTCTCTCTCTCTCTGTGAATGTAGGAGAATAGTTATTGGTTGGAAAAATTGGAGGCTGTATGTTGAGTTGATATTTACTAAGAGTTCATGGGCTGGTAAAAGAATTAGGTTGGTCATTTTTTTTGGGAAGGCTACTTTTTGAGATGTGTTTGATTTTATAATCTATATTTGAAGAAGATAGGGAGACCGTGGCTACTTGCTTAAGCCTTTTATTGTATAGTCAGAATAATATTGTTGATTCTATGGTATGGATGTATGGTGGTGTGTATATTCTGCTTAGTCTCCTTAAGGACCCGATAGTTCTCACTCCCCTTCTTGGACCCGTTGAAAGTTAAACGCTCTTTGCTTAGCATGTTTATTTTGGCCTTGCCAGCACATGTAGTCTCTGCTCATACATCTGTTACTTTTCAGTCCTTTGCTTCTTCCTTATGGCACTTGAGTGTGAGTGTATATTTGTTTGGAATCAGTTGGTTCAGCCTAGTAAAGTGAAGACCTATTATTAATGAGTCCGATCGTTCTCCTTGCCAAGCACAATTTACTTTCAGATGCTATGCTGCCTAAAGTCTTACATTATTATTGCAGGCTACTTTAACAATCATGAGGCGACTGTTTCAACTCTCACTTCAGATGGTTGGCTAAAAACAGGGGATGTGTGCTATTTTGATGAAGATGGCTTATGGTTTTCAATTGATCCTTTGACTGAAATATGCTAGTTAAATGAAATGCAAGAAAGGTACTTAGAGATAAGTCTAGATTATTTAATTTTTTTTAGACGAAAATTGTAATATTACAGCCTTTTTTAATGAAAATATGTAACTTTTTATATATGTTAGTGTTTATATATCAATTTAAGTGAAAAAAATGCAAAAAAAAAAAAAAAATAAAAAAATAAAAAATTTGGCATTTTTGGCATCGATTTTGGAACAGAACCGGTGCTAAAAGTTTTTTTTTTATTTTTTTTTGCCACTTTTCGCACCGGTTCAAAGCAAGAACCAGTGCTAAAAGTGTTTTTTTTTTAATATTTTTGGGGACTTTTCGCACCGGTTCACATCATGAACCAGTGCGAAAAATAAGTTTTCGCACCGCTGCGAAAAGTCTTAGGATTTGACATCCCTCAAATCAGAACCAGTTCCAAACCGGTGCGAAATGGGGTTTTGAACCGGTGCTGATTAGCAATTTTCGCCTAGTGTCACTAGAGAAAGCAAATATAACCAAAACAAGGGTAAAAATGACTAGAGAAGGCGCAAACATGTGACAAATGAGGGTAAATCCTCCCTAAAGAGGGGTGGAATAGTGGCATAAATGCCACTCATCAAAATCCCCCACACTTGCCTCTTGCTTGTCCTCAAGCAAGACTAAAGAGAAAAGAGAAAAAGCAAACACTACAATGACTAACACAACACGGCAAGGCTTAGGAAAACCAATCAAATTTAGAGTGGTAAGTGCTCCACTTGGACTCAAAAGGGGAAAGACAAGCACCAAATAATACTCACCTTTCTCAATTAGACGAGGGAAAACACGTCCTAAGATGCTCATGGTTGAAAAAGACAAAAACTAAACTAAGCATAGAAAACTAGTGATTTCATTCCACGCCCTAGCCCCAACCAAAACGGGTCGCGTTCTCCCTACTAGCTTCAAATCATCCCTTAGTTAGCTTCTCATGATTCCGCGAAGGAATCGGAAAAAGATAAATGAATGTGGAAACATGAGAAGGTCATCTCGAAATCTCAATTGTGCATACTCTCTCCATAGGTTTGAAGTCTATCTCCCTCCACCGATGTTGACTCAACCCTTAAGAGTCTAAGGGTTGTAACGAAAGGCTAGGGGTCAAGGCGGGGAGAAAAGTTTGAATATTTTGGTGATATTTCCTAAGTGAAGAAAAAGGGTGATCAAACCTCAAAAAAGAACTCAAGAAGTCACCAAACATCAAACAAAAATACCAATAATGTCATCTCCCCCAAGCTTATACAACACCAACACATAATATATACAAAAACGAAGGAATGCTCCCCCTAAGCTTGAACGGAGCATTGTCCTCAATGCTTAAATAGGGAAGAAAACGAAACCAACTATTGTTTTTTTGTTTTTTTTTTTATATATATATATATTTATAGCTCTTATTTGGTGTCCTTGCCTTTTTTTAACTATGGACGACTTTTACTTAAAGGCATTTGCTTTATTACACACAATATATACAATTTACTTTCTTGCTTGGTCCAAAGAACATATTACTTTCTCATTTTCATTCAAACCATCACAACACAAAACAAACCCTCAAACCAAAATGCTTCACAAAACTAAGGGTTAGGGAAACAAAAGGTCATTAGGCTTGTAATGTGGCTCGTAATAAAGAAAGGGAGTAGGCCCAAAGGGTTAGCAAGAGGAGCAAATGTAAAATAGAAAACCAAATTTGTAACAAAATAAAAGAAAGAAAAGAAAAAATGAGAAATTATGCCCTTGTCCTCTCCTAGAGTGGCTCGATCACGATCTCGGGAAGCTAGAGGTCAAAACAAGGATTAAGACATGCATAGTCAAGGATCCTAATGCGCCACTCAACAAAATGATGAAGGCTACAACAATATAACCTCACTAGGGATTAAAACCAAGCATATACCAACCAAGGGCTTCAAATCCACTATAGAGAGCAACTCCATCTTTCCACTTTCCCATGAACTAAGATTTCAAATGGCCTCAAAGTTCTTAACCTTGCTACCTTAGCGTTAAGATTTTTCAAATTCAACCAAAAGCACTCTCAAATCGTGTTCTCCATCGCCAACTAGGAAGAATCAAATATTCAAAGACACAATATCAAAACAATCAAGTCCAAATGTAAGAGCAAAATATAAAACACATTTTATCAACTTGCCATGGCCATGCTTTTTAAAAGAGAAAGAAAGAAAAGTAAAGAAGAAGAAAGAAATCAAATAGTTAAAAAATGAGGCATATATAACAAGTCAAGTCCCAATCGACATACAAAGATCGTTCGATATCAACATCAACGATCCCTAGGTTCCGTAGAACCCAAGTAAACAACCTCAAACCATTCAAATTCCTCATAAACTAACCTAAACTAAGCACACCAAGTAATAAAAAGGAGAAATAAGAAAGGTCTCATCGGGAGATTGGCTTAAAAGAATAAAGGAGCATAAAATAGAATTCACCAAATGTAACCCCGCTTCAAACTTCCAAAAGGAAACCTACAAGGCACGACAATACACAAAAGAAAACATTAAAAGAGAAAACAAAAGGAAAACAAAGAGAAAAATAAAGGAAAGGGGAGAAAAGGGTTAGAAATCCTCCGAATTGCCACCCAGGAAGCGCTTGTTTAGGGTCACTAGCTTGATCCTTCACTTCTTTCATGGTGGATCAAAGGATATCACCTTCTTTAACTTAGAGGTGGAAGTAGCATGCATGCCCCCAAGCTTGGGAAAGAATACATCTTGTAACATCTCTCCATCACAAGGGAAAAGTAGGGGCGTTTTGGGGACCGAAACTTTCTCAACTTTCTTTTTCATCTTTTTGTTGTTGTTGTTTCTTTTCTTCTTTTTTCGCTTCCTCAAGAACTTTTGAGAAGAACTACTCCTTGCATTCTCCATCTTGGGAGGGACAACCTCACCTACCAAATAATCCTCATTCATCATAGACACCTTGACCACCTCCTTAGATTTCTTTAAAGGGGGCTTAAGATTCTCCTTCAATCCCTTCTCTTTTTTCTCAAGTTCTTCCTCTTAAGGGGGACCTACCACATCCACTCTACAAACCTTCTCCACCATGGGATTCTTATATACGTTGGAAAATTCAAACACCATCTTTTCATCGGCAACTTCACAAGTGATAGTGTTGTTCTTGCAATTGATCACAGCTCCCAAGGTCTTAAGAGCCTCTCGACCCAAGATCAAAGGTGTATTGTCATCTTCCTCCATGTCCATGACAACAAAATCACAAGGAACATAGATATGTCCCACTTGAATGGGAACATCCTCAAGCTCTCCGCATGGCAACTTTACCGATCGGTTGGCAAGTTGAATTGTCTTCCTTGTAGAGATCATTTCAATGTTGTGTTGTTGAGCAATGGACAATAGAATCAAACTTACACTAGCTCCAAGATCGGCCAAGGTACCCTTTGCTTCCAAATTCCCAATCTTAACCGGCAAAGTAAAGCTCTCGGGATCTTGTTGCTTCTTGGGCATCTTATGTTGCACTAAAGCACTAACTTGAGAAGGAAGAGTGACGAGATCCTCATAGTCTTCTTTTTGTTGGAAAGAATTTCCTTGAGAAACTTTGCATAGGAAGGCATTTGTGTGATTGCCTCAAGGAAGGGAATATTGATGTGTAGACCCTTCATCACCCTTAGAAACTTCACAAACTTCTCATTTAACTTCCTTTCCGCTAGCCTATCGGGAAAGGGCACAGGTCCACCAAGATTCCTAGCATCACTAGGGGGTGAAGGTGTCTTCTTTTTGATGGGATTGTTCTTCTCAATTCCCTTTTCCATCTCAACATCCCCATCTTTAACCACCTTTTTCTCACTTATCTTCTCGTCACTAACCCTCTTCTTTGGATCATCATAGGCGGTTCCCGACCTTAAGGTTATAGCTTTGCAAGACTCGGTTTTGTAAATATGTGAGGGGTTAGGGTTTGGTTGACCGAGAAGTATAGATGGTGAATTGAAGGATGACCTTTCGGCCAATTGGGCTTATTAGGAGTCCACCATTTTGTTATGGGATTTGACCTCTTGTATTTGTTAGCTTTGGTTTTGGATTAGTTGTCCAAAAGCTTAAAGTTGTTGGCTCATGATTTGAAGGAGTTGGGTTTGGGCTTGGTTGATTTGTTGCGGGGTTTGGTCATGGTGTTTTTGAGGGAATTGGTTTGGATAGTTTCCTCCATGATTTTGGTTTTGGTTATAGAGTGGAGGTTGGTTTTGGAATTAGGGGTTTAAAGGTGGTTGATTTGGTTGGTTCCATTGTTGCGGTTGAGGTGAAAAACCGGGGGTAGTTGCCTCCAAGCAACTCCAACTCCATTGCCCCTAAAACCATCTTGCCTTGAGTTTAACGCCGCCACATGTTCGGGGTTCGAACCCCCACAATATGATGTATCATGGTTTGTACCTCCACATATTTTTACAAGAAAAGACATTGACTTGGAAGGAGCTTGAGCCAACATTTCCATTAGAGCTTAACTTGGCTACGCCCTTACTCAAAAGCTCCCCTTGATGTTGAAGTCGATCAAGCTTCTCCAACTCATCCTTTCTTCCCTTCTCAAGAGTAGTCCTTCTTCTACTTCCCCATGAATAGTTCTTAGTCACCTCCTCAGTTGTTGCTTCAACTTGGTTTTGGGGTATCTTGATTAATTCTCCACCCGCCCCCGCATCCAAGTTCGCTCTAGACATAGGTTCCAAACCATCATAGAAGAAACTCATAAGCAAGCTTTGATTGTATTCATGGTGAGGACATGCTTGTACCAACTCTTTGAACCTTTCCCAAGCTTCACTAAGGCTCTCATCCGCTTCTTGCTCAAATGATGCAATCTTCCTCCTCATTTCAGCGGTCTTCTCCTCGGATATGAACCTCTTCAAGAATTCCTTGACTACCTCCCTCCATGTTGTAGACAATTTGGCTTGACTTGCTTAAGCCATTTCTTGGCCCTACTCGAGAGAGATTGTCGAAATAAGTGCATACGGATATACTCTTGAGAAACTTGATTAGTTTGAATCATGGCACAAACCTCAAGAAATCTATCAAGGTGCTCTATTGGATCTTCACTTGGAGAACCCGACCGAGAATTGCTCCGCTTGTAACATCCTTGTATATTGGGGATGGATGGTGAAATTGGTTTCCGTAACGGGTAACAAGATACCACCCGTGAGCTCATAGTCCTCCGGGTTTCCAAACTCACGAAACAAAACAACCTCTTCTTGTGCCGCCATTGCCTCACTTTGAGAACTTGAAGACCAAGAATTACTCTCACTCTCAACAATACCACCAAGACCCTGGGGTTCTTCTTGATAAATCCTACGGACTTGTCTTAAAGTACGGTCGATCTCGTGGTCAATGTAATGTGTGGGTGGTCCTTGAGACCTCCTTAGCATCCACTAAAGCTAATAAAACAATTAACAATGACTAGCAAGATAGTAAATGAATAAAAATAAAGCAACAAATCCAATAATATCACAATAAAGGTGCAAAACTAGTCGTTTCCCTGGCAACGACGCCAAAAATTTGATGGACGGATAATAGGTCGTGGTTTACTATCCTAGATCAAATCAACAATTTATATTCCTAATCTTACTCTACCAAGTTTACACAAGATAGTGGCAAGCTAAGGTCAAACCATAAGGAAATGGGGAAGTGCACAATCAAAGTGAAATTAAGAATCTATTGCAAGGTAACAAGGGGTATTTTGAATTTTTCGTTGTTTTCAATGATCAAATTAAACTACCACAATTTATAAAAGCAAGTAAATGAAATGAAATCAAACTAAAAGAACTAAAATGAAGATGAAACACTAGATTTGAGAAATAAGATCAAAACACTAGGGAGAGGGGGTTCCAATCATGATCAACTAAGGCAACAATGATGATTAACATGAATACATGACAAGGAATACAATTTCTACCCAAATAATTCATTCCCATGTAATTATTCAAGCAAATTGATGAAATAGATCAACACTAAACTAGATCATTCCCATGCGTCCAATTCAGAACTCATGTATTGGAATTAAAGGTGCACATCAATAATTCCAAGCAATTTAAGCATAAAATCATCAACTCAATGCAATATCCAATCAATCATCACTATAATCCAAGCTAATCATGATCTTCACCCCCTTCCGTAGCTAGAAATCTAAGCTAGATAAGAGAAAATAGCCATCACAACTACACTAAGCATGAATTCAATCTTAACAAAGCAAAACATGATTCAAAATCAAAGTAAATCAATCAAACAAGTAAAATCAAGGAAATAGATGAAGATCAACACTATCAAATGCAATTAAACCAAACAAAAAGGAAAGAGTTAAGAGATTACTACTATGAAGCTTGATTGATGAAAAAACATGAATTAACTTGCATTAAATTGAAGAAAACTTAAAGAAATCTTGATTACAATGATGAAACTTGAAGATTAAGCAAATTTCTCTCTCTAAAATCCAATAGTTTCTCTCACTACCAAGCTTAAATAATATTTGGAATAAATAAATCACAAATTCAAGAAAAAGTCTATTTATAGTGCTTCACAAATCCGGAAATAACGAACTAAACCGCGCCTTCTCTACCTACACCGCACCCTCTTTTATCTGGGTACAGACGAGCAAACCTCAAGGATCGCGCCTGCGGCCTGGATCACCGCGACCGCGGTGGCTTATGTAGAGGCCTCTCTCGACTGAGGAGAGGTCGCGGCGCAGGAACAGGGCGGTAAATGGCTGGCAAAGGGCCGCGCCTGCGGTGGTTTGGGGAGAGCCCTCTCCTAGGGTGCGGGCAGCCTTTTACAGGTTCTTGAGTGATCCTGCAAGAATACCTCTCCGTGCTTGCGGTCTTGGGGGTGGCAGCACGCCCTCTCCAACTGGTATCTCTCCACTCCTTGACCAAGCATAGCTCATCTACCTTCATTCAAAAGCGCCCAAAAACCTACAAAACAAGGATAAAAAGGATAGAAATCACAAGAAGTGATAAAAGAAGAAGAAAGTCACGAGAGAAAGCAAATATAACCAAAATAAGTTAAAACTGACTAGATAAGGTGCGAACAAAAATCCTCCCTAAAGAGGGGTGAAATAGTGGCATAAGTGCCACTCATCATCTTTACATTCTTGTTGGCTGATTCCACAGCACCATTAGTTTGTAAGGCGATGATTTGTAATGTTTTATGTGGTGTTACGCACTCAGCTTAGAAATGCGTCCCGTTATCACTGATCATTTCACGAGGCACACCATAGCGACATATAATGTTTTTCTTAATGAATTGAGCTACATGTTTTGCTGTGAGCTTAACATATGAAGTGACTTTGACCCATTTGGTGAAGTAGTCGATTGCTATAAGGATGAACTCGTGTCCCCCTTGTCCTGGTGGTGTTATCTTCCCAATGATGTCGATTCCCCAAGTAGAGAAAGACCATGAAGAAGTGTATGTGTAGAAGAGTGATGGTGGAACATGTTGCAAATTTGCGTAGAATTGACACCTCATACATTTCTTAACATACTCGTGACAATCTTTCTCCATGGTAGTCCAACAGTAACCTTATCGCTGAATTTTCTGGACTAACATCTTTGCATTCATGTGCGTTCCACATATTCTGGCATGACGGTTTTCCCTTGTTTTGTTTGCTTCCTTCTTAGCTATGCACAACAAATTTCTTCCTAGTGCGGTCCTCTTATGGAGTTCTCCCTTTATGAGAACATATTGTGAGGCCAGGAGCCTCAAACACGGCGTGCTCTTTTATCAGTGTTGGGAGGGTATTCTCCCTTTGTCACATAGTTAAGGATGTCCATGTACCACGGCTCTTCGTCCTCTTCTTGTGAGTCTTGTTCATCATCTAGTGCATGAACATAAGCCAGCTCATATCGTTGTTCTATGGTCAATGGCATTCTAACTGTATCTCTTGGAATTTGGACCATCGAAGCCAACTTAGCTAGCGCATCAGCGAACTGATTTTCTTCGCTAGGTAAGTTAGTGTATTCTACTTCATCTAGTTGCTCCATGAAAGTTTCAAGATGAGCTTGATACGTAGCGAGACTTTCACTTATCACTTTTCATCTCTTGGAGATTTGATTGATGATTAGTGAAGAGTCACCATAGATTCTCAGCTTCTTGATTCCCAAAGCAATAGCTGTTTCTACTCCCAAGATACATGCTTCATACTCTGCAGCATTGTTGGTGACATCAAAATCGAGCTTCATAGAATTGGGATGTGCTCTTCGTTGGGTGATACGAGCAAGACTCCTACAACTCAACCTTTTTGGTTTGAAGCTCCATCAAAATAGAGCGTCCAACTATCATCCTCAGTCATGAGTAGATCTTCATCAGGAAAATCATACTCTTCTTCCGCCGTCTCAAGTTCTTCTAATGGGAAATCTGCTAAGAATTCGAAAATTGCGGAACCTTTGATGGCTTTTTGTTGCATGAACTTCAAGTCAAACTCAGCAAGGTTGACTATCCACCTTGACAATATGCTGTTGAGAGTGGCTTTCTCAAAC